AGCAGAATCCCTGTAATGGTTAGAAGGTTATGGTAAAAACATGTCTAACACACGACTAAATAATAAAAGTACCAATGGCTACAACACTAGAGAAAGGCCACGAGGGAATTCAGTAAGACGTATGCCTGTCCGCATTTTGAGGATAACTAGCACAAACAGGGCACCATTAACAGGGCCGTTAGCTGTAAGATCGTTCCCGGAGAGTAAAATACCAGTAAGACCATGAACTGATACCAAAATCAATAGAACACGAAATGCTAAAAGTCCAAACGGTGATGATAGATGATCGCCTAGAAAGAGAGAGAGAGGGGTACAAAATTACCAAGAATCACAAGAAAATCTAGAATACCGGTCAGGATAAATGGTTATGTTTGGAATACTGAAGAGAGTGTAAGATATGAAGAAAAGCGAAAAGTAGATGACGCTAGACGTTTACTTGCTCCTTAAGTAGAATTCCAATTCAGAAAAATAAGATACGTCGGCCTACTGACTGCATTATACCAAGACTTTATACGAACCGAACATTTACCCTAAATATTTCAGAGTTTTTCAAAGAGAGATGATCAAGCTAAAAATTCGGAGGCAAATCAAAAACCTGTTTTACCTATTCTCGTTAGCATATGCGATAAAGGCGAAAGAACTTGTCCAGAGTTATCATCAGAATTCCTGCAGTTACCGTCCATAACTAATAAGAATGCAATGGTAAAAACAAGTCATTATTTATCAATCTTGGGATTAATTTGTCTAACGCAGCAAAAAGGAAAAAGCGAATCTTTAGATGAAAACAGAAAAGACATTTATATAAACCGACCCTTGTCAGCCTCTGGATTCACAAAACTTCCGCCAATAATTAGAACAAACAAGACAACGGTAATGGATCGTCCGATGTCGTCTGCTAGGTTATCGACTTTGTTTATTGCAAATAAGAATACAGCAAACCGACCATTTTCGTCCTCTGGATAACCAAGACTTCCACCAATTATTGATGGAAATACAGTAGAAATGTGTCGGCCTATATCATCATTATCTGGGTATCCGCTACTCCCGTCTATTCCAAGTTATAAGCTAGACTCAGATGAGGACGAAAACATGTCAGTTGAAAGATCAAACCGAGAGGAATCTGATATAACACCAAACAGGGCAGAATACTGTAAACCAACTTATTTTCGCGGATACTTAATTTCGTGTGTAGCCATTTTCAGCCGACTTTGCTGCGATTAATTTTCACGGTTTTCTGATTTTTTTATGTATCTATATAAAGGAAGACTTAAGTGTTACATATTCGCGACGATTTATGAAAGATGCGAAAATGAAGCGCTCGCGAAAATAAGTTGGTTAACAGTAGTTATTACGTTTTTATATACCTCAAGTAGATGTTTTTCACGTAACGTGACGTGACGTATTACAGAATAGGGGTGTGATAAAGCATTTGCAACCGTGACTGATATTGATGACATGACAACATACATAATACCAATATATATAAAAAAAAACCAAAAAAAAACCCAGTTTTTTATATTAATGCAATTGTTGGTTTGTTTGTTGGCAATAAACTGCATAATTAAAGTTGTAAAAAAAGTCGTCTGCTTTTGAGGTCGTGACTGATATCAATATCATTACAGCTGCCTGATATCTACATTACGATTGCAATTGATTGTATTACACATGCAATTTACTTGTATTAGCTACAATGCATATACAGAAATCATTTTTCTTCATTCCTTCCGCCTATATCACCCTGTCCAGTCCCTCCGTTATTCTCGTATCACGGCTTTGAGACATTAGAAGAACTTATAATATTATACCAGTGACGTCACGATGTTTGAAGAGAAATTATCAGCGACGTCACAAAGTGTGATGAGACATTTTAAAACAAGCTAACTTTCTTCAAGCGTTAATCTTGTCTAAGAGAAGGGAAAGACCAGAAAAAGCTCGATAAATAGATTATCGGATGTTTTGGGTATATATATTGTAAAATATCAGCTGCGAGTCACAAAATGAAGCTTTTTGTCGAGTGAGCGCAGCGAACGAGTTCAAAAAAGCTTCAGATTGTGTCGAGCAGCTGATATTTTACAATATCAATATACAGACAATCAGATAATTGATTTATTGGGTTGTATTTGCATTTTTTTTTTGCATGATAGAAACAAGTGCTTATTTAAATTCACTAGCAAACCGGAAGATGACTTGATAAGTTCGGGTCAAACTTATCAACGTCGGTTCATACATTATGACGTCGCTGATATGTCTGGGTCAAAGTTATGAAGGCAGGGTCAACGTATTTGAAGACACAAGGCGTGGTATGCAATTTTACTAAGAACTGAGCAGAGTGATACAGACAGTGGAACTACCGATGAGATTTTATTATGTGAAGTCTTCAAAAGGTAGCATAACGAAGGATGAAAATAAAATTGATATGCAGTATGTTTCCCAGAATAAACATGATGAACGCGTATACAAAATTTTGGTATACATACAATTTGTCATTTTCATAATTCTTATAAGGCTGACATAATTCATGCTAATTCAATTCAATGTCGAATTTGAAAAGTCAATGGTTTTATTCACACTGCACTTGCGGCTATGGCCACATTAAAGTAGTTGTTTCTGTGGATTTGCTCGAAATGTTGGCAGAACAAACAACGAATCTTACTAAATCCCCAAAACTATCAAACGCAAATTTTACATGTTTTATTTCACATTTAAAAAGAAATGATTTTAAACGCAGTATCCACGAGCTTTTAAAACTATTTTGAAATTGTATCTGTTTTTTTTTTCCTTTCTGAACAAAAAACATATTGTTTTGAAAACATGCATCATATTTCGTCATTTGCTCTTTTTGTAATGAGAAAAACTAAATTCCAAATTTATTGGTCGCACCTATGGGATTCTTCGTACTGAATTCAAACCATATGTCCATGGGTGTACGCATATTATAATAGCGTGTTGGTGCTTTGCTCTTGCGCCAATTGACATTTCATTTGCCCCAAAATAATCTTTCATTTGCGCCACAAACCATATATTTCATTTGCGCCAAAATAAAACATTTCATTTGCGCCAATAATACAGGTAAATACAGGTAAATAATATAAAAATAGTTTTATTCAACAGAATCTTTTAATATTAACTTCAAAACAAAGTTTTTGATTGCATAATAAAACATATTCCTCCAAAATTAGTCATCGTAACCATAATGAAAGCACTATACATGTTCTTAATAAGAGGCTTTTCATATAAATGTTAAAACACAGTTCTCTTATAAATTAAAGATATCATAAAACCTTAAAGAAAGCACTACACACTTGAGTAAAACCAAAAGTTTGTTCTGACACAAGACTTGTAATCAACGGCTCGGATGTACTCATGTACATTGGCCGGATAACCTATATGTGTAGTCATAAAAATATACAGACTTATTTCCTCTATATAAAATAAGAGATGTGGTATGACAACTATCCACCCAAGTTCAGATGAAGTGGATATAAGCAATTATCTTACCTCCTATACATTTCTAGGAATATGATTGGTTAAAAGCGTCCGCGTGGAGACCGTGTATATTCCATATTAGGTTAGTAGGGAGGCGCGGCTTATGTCATACACGGTTAGTAGTGGTGTTACGTCCCTTTATAAAAACAAAACGGTATTGAGAAAAAATCTTAAAGGTTTCAACAGACGAAGAAATTGATGATGAAGGTTGAAATAAATTCATAAAACACATTTAAACCTAAGAAGTTGTTATTGTTGGCATCTGTTTTTGTAGGATCAATGGAAGTAGTTTCTTAATGCTAACGGTATTGAAGACTTGCTCATTTTGACAGGTCACTACTCTAAATTTCACACATTAAGATAGTCGTTAAGATAAATTCGTTACATAGTGTGCTAGTGACGTAATACGGTATATATGGGGTCAGTAAATTCCATATGGGGATTCGAGCTTCGCTCTCACCCCATATGGAATTTACTGACCCCATATATACCGTATTAGGTCACTAGCACACTATGTAACTAATATTATAGGCAACCGCACGGCCTTCAACAACGAGAAAACCCATACCGTATAGTCGGCTATAGACGGCTCCGACATGAAAAATATGAAACAATCCAATTCTGAGAAGACTAACGCGGCCTGTTTGTCTCAAAATTGACAATGTCCATCTTGACACCTCAAACATGTGAACACTATATAATTTTAAACCTAAGAGACTCTCAGTTTTATATTAAAAAATGAGTATGAGCTTACTTAGTTACTTCACGATGAATATTCTAAACTTTTCCGTTATATGTTACCTGTAAAATGGCGCAAATGTAGTTTTTATCTTTTGGCGCAAATGAAATATAACCTTGTGGCGCAAATGAAAGATTGGATTTTGTAAAAATTGGCGCAAATGCAATGCGCCCCAGCGTGTTGTCCCCATAGTTCTTTGGGTAGTTATATTTCTTCTGCCCCAGATTATTGCTTTAACGTATCTCAATTCGTACGATATACCATGCAGAGCATTCTCTTCCTATGTGGATTTCATGATTGCAGGTTTATTCGCAACTTTTATATACTATGAACGATTGTAAAGACACCTGTATATTTGTTGAATATAATAAATGTCGCTCTCTGGATGTCTTTTTGTTATTTTTGTCGTCTGGATCCCATCGACGTATACCCAATTTCCTTTCACTCATAGATACATAATTGTTAAAATGAAGAACGAACGCAACCAATGCTTCACACAAAGTGCATGGTCACCATTATAAATTGGCCAATTGTTACGGTTTCGTGTTGTCTCAAATGACTAGAGACATATTTACTCCTTGTTTATTTCTGACCATGATTGCACATGTGTTCCCGAACGGTACACTTACTACTGGAATTCAGTTTGGAATCCTATACAGCTTGTCATTTACTACAAGAAGTCGAAACTTGCGTCAAGCTACTTGAAATCCATGTTATTATCATTGTTTGCTACCTCCTTTTTATCGTCTTTAAATTGACTTAAGAAATTAAAAACGAATTTTGTGTATTATTTATTTTAAAAATAATTTCCTTCATAACAAATATAGTGTAAAATGTAAATAACAATAGCAAAATTGGATATATAGTATGTACAGCTGATTGAACAATAAACTTATTCAAATTACACTTCATCAGTGGTCATTATTTTTACTTCAAGTACAGTCATTCTAAAATACAATCAATGTTGAAAATATGAACAATATAAACAAAGCCTTTATTTAACCCTTTTCTTTGTCGAAGACATTAGACTGATACAGCTCTTTTATTTAGGTTCTGTTGGTCTTAATTGGCACAGATGTGTTATGCATTTTACCTATAGCTACCCAATTTGAACAACACTTGTCACGTCGCACATACGTTCATATCATATTCATTACCAAAATGCACCCGATATATTGCGGGCATAAGAATTGGATTAATTTATTTATTTTCAGATTCATATTGTGAACTTTTAGAATAATGTTGTTTAAGAAGTAATCATTTTTTAAGTCAGATTTTCGTGCACTCTATTTTGATAGTCTTACACAAAATCAATTGTTCTTCATGGTGCGTTGTTGTTTGAAAATCTTTGTCTTCGGTTGGGCCTATTTTGTTGCACTAAGGTAAGATTTTAAGCCTTGTGTCTAAGAGGAGTTTATTGGCATAGATCCGAGCGGGCATTTGGAAATCCGTCCCCCCTTTTTTACTATATTACAGGCTAAAGGGAAAAGCGAAAATAACAATTTACATTTTGAATGCATGCTCAAATTTGGTAGGCGGAGAAACGACAAGCAAAATCAGATCTCTTCATTTAAGTAATTTTGCTCTGTGGTTCACATAATTTATGTAAATATTTCAATTGATTTTTATTGAATTTCACTGTTCCATTAATAACATGCTATATATAGCGGAAACTACCCCGGACACTTGCGCAAGAGCTTTCCCGTAGATAAATGTTTAACTTAAAACGGCGACTTCTAGAATTTTTTCTTCATATTCATTCATTTCTAGGTTTTTGTTTTGAGTTTATGTTTCATAGACGTTAAACACCTGTATTGTTCTTAGAATATACATGAAATGTTGAATAAAATGCGTCACAAATACCTTTTTTGTAAACCGAAGGGTAATGTTCACACCCCGTACTCTGTTAAATATAAACAACCTATAATAGTGGATGTTGAATCTCTCCAAAATTTCGTGTGAACGAAGAACGAATAAAAAACCTGAAAATTCCTACATTAAAATTATGAAGGTTAAGAGGCGACATGACAGAGAGACCTACAAGATAACAACAGGAGTATATGACCAAAGAGAAACAGAAGGCTTATTTATGCGAAACAAAAACTCGGCAACAAGAGGAAACTCGATGATATTGGTTAAAAACAGAAGCAGACTAGACTTTAGGAAATACTACTTCACGAACCGAGAAGTGGAAGTGTGAGACAGCCTACCAGATACCGTAGTGACTGCAAAGAATGTAAAGACCTTTGAATGTCGTCTAATCATGCACTGGAAAGACCACCCAATGATATATGATTTTACCACTAACTACACATATACCAACGGAAGTAGCACACGTGAAATTAGTGAAGATGAAATAGAGCCAAACATAGAAGAGAAAACTGATCTCCTGCGTTTGGAAACACTTAGACTTAGGTAGGTAGAGATTGGACACATATTGCAATCTATTGTCCATTTACGTTAAGTTGAGTGTTTCACGTGTATCGAATATACAATCGCTTTCACTTTAATACTTGTCGATCAATTTTATAGGTTCAATATTTCATATTTCTTAATTTGGAACTTTTTCATTCTACGACCTTTTTAAATGTTTCATCATTGTAATTTAAACTCTGGTGTAACGTTTCTCTGTCTTCATTCTGGACAGGAATAAGTCTCTGGAAATTGGCAGTCTGTGGTTCTATACTGGCAACTGAACGTTCACCGGTATGAGTAGCTTTCTGTATATGTTCGGATATAGCTTGTCTTAGCTTATTTTCTTTCATTATCATTAAGACTGTGAGTATTTCTCTACAAAATTTTCCATCAGACATATCGTCCCTGATGCCGTCTAATAAATCATATTTCTTTCCCCTGGTCATATTATCGCTGGATCTAAAATGAACAAAGGCTTACTTCTTAGACGGATTGTTTTGATAAAAGCATTATGGGATCTTATTTAAGTCATATAGTTAATTGATTTTCTAAATCTTTTTAACAACCAAGTCTAAAATATCTAGTATTGAATTGAACAAATACACATAATTCTTATCATTTTCATGGTTTTAATTTCTGGTTATATTATAAAATTTCATAATGAAGTAAGACTGTTCTTTAACTTGTCATTAAAATAATATACCTCATGAGAGATCTTAATTCTCTGTCGGCACCAAGTCGTCGGCACATTTCGTTAAATTTGTCATCCTCTAAGCCATCGACTATTTCATATATTATACTAGGTAATATACCTCGCCTGGATGGCAAGCATTGCAACTCATCTATGCTTTCCTGTAACAAAAATTCGATAATATCAATGTTTAATTCATCGTTGTTTCAATGATTTTAATAAACCAAATAACCCAAATTTCCTTATTGGCTTAAGGAGTACAACAGAAATGTTCTCCTTTATTCGTGACAACAGTTCTAAACGAATTAACGATCATATGCTAAATAAACAAGAGTTTTGTTTTTTTTTCGCATTGTTCAGGATTTAATAGTTAACAATTACCATTTTTTGACAAAAGGAGGAATAAAATGAGATGTCGACTAAATAATAAGAAATGTATCCAACGGTTAATAAAACTCAGAATATTATTAACATTGTGATTTCCTGTGGAGAACAGTTCAACCTTTATAAGTATTCTTCTAAGTGTTTTCTATTTTATCACCTTGTTTTACATGCATGCATATTGTTTAGACCTCAATCTAAACAGTAAATAACAACTACTGAACAGTCTAAACAGATCTAATTGCCAGCAAGCGAAGTCTGAACAGTACTGACTTTACCGCAGTGGATAAGTCTGAAAATGGACTAAACGACTAAACTATTTTTCAGTTAATTCAGATCCGTTCGTCGCTTTGTTGGTTGAGCCAAGCAAGCCCAAAGAACTTTTTGGGGCATATTTGATGCATCAAAACCGAAAAGGGTATATAAACAACCGTAATTAAAGTGCATTTACATCATCTATAAACTGAAAAGCGGTATGGCAAATTTTGCCTGTATACAATATTTCACTTACAAGGTCAAATCATAAAGATTGTAATAACCTATACTGCAATCGGAATATTGAATAGTCGAAACGATGTACAAAGACTTTCCAACAATATGATTCTTAGATCGAAGGTCTTCCGCAACAATTTGTATCTGAGAGTCATTATAAAGTTTTACTTTTCACAAAATGGTTTTGTTTTAGTATGACTTTCTTACTTCTCTTTTAGCAATAATCGACCGAGTGGTCTATGGCGCTGGTCACGGTGCAGGTACATATGTATTGAAATCTCTCTGAGGAAAGAAAACAATTGAGCAATTTCAATTTATTTTTTATTTGGGTGAATATCTACATCCTCGTTATGTTTAAATTGCTGACTTACTGGATAGTGGTTTTCAATAACTGTGTCTGAGAGGTCGATGTCGACTGTCATTCGTGTTCTAATGCTAACACATTGATGACTTGTGTGACTAATACCGTTTTCTGACTTAGGTACAGTTCTGTGGCTTGACAGACGTTTAGCTTTTTCTAAATCAATATGTTCCATAGCTTCATAATCTGATGTCGCTCCCTCGTCTGTGTCAGATTCTTCTAATGCTTTCTGTTTGATGCTTTCTTCAATGTATTTTTTGTATAATATTTCGATGAAGCATTGGAATACAGTTCTAAACCTTGGAGGACTTTCATTTTTGAATTGCCATTCCTTTGTTGTCTGTATGAATTTGTGATGACCACATTTGAACCGATTAGAAAGATTCCAACTCTGTAAAATATAATTATTTTAAATTCATGAAAAAATATCATGTATGAAAACACATTTATGTTATATTATATTACATCATATTCTTCGGAAAATGCCTGTACCAAGGCAGGAATATGACAGTTTTTTTCACTCGTTCCGTTGATAAATAACGTTTGATTTTGTCTTTTTTATGGACTTCCCCTTTTTAAATCTAACTTGAAGTTCGGTATTTTTGTTATACCTTTTTATATTATTATAGGTTTAAAAAATCGGAAGACTACAGCCAGTGAGATTTCTGAACAAATATTTTGAAGATTGAAGATAATAACGATTTAGTCCAGGTAATCGAACAACCGATGACATCTTTGCACTCCAATTTTTATTGTTGGTTGTTCATCGACTTTAAAAAAACATTTGATAGTGTATCCCATTTCAAACTGTAGTAAAGACTAATCAGATGTGGTATAAGTGGAAGCTTGTTAACTCTTACTAAATCTATACGTATACCAAAATTAAATGTGTTAAATTGATAGGAAAGTTTTCAAATTTCTTCCAAAGTACTGTTGATTATTTGTAAGGTAAATCTTTATCTATATTCTTTGTATATCAATGACATTGCAATTGAACTTAAAAAACAACAATAAGGCCCTGTTGCGATTTTAGTTAAAACTTGGCATTTTAACAATTATTTACTTATTTAGTAAAAACAAATATTTCCTCTGTTTAGTTGGTTAATACATGGATTAAGTAATGGATGTTTTCTTAATGGCCCTGTTATATGCCTTTGGTAATTAATAATTGCCTCGGAGGTGGTAACGTGTTTCTCTGCGTTGCCTCCGACAATTACAGACACCATTAGACCATTATTACAGACCTTGGACATATAACAGGGCCAATATGAAAACACACATTACTTAATACTATATTTTCATTTTCTACTGGGGAAGAGCCACGTAATTTAACGAGGAGGAGGTTATAATATTCTATCCTGATTATCAATTTTTGCCAGACAAAAGAGAGAAAACAATTAATTTGAATAAGTTCATTTAAAATTGTCGAAAAATAATCTGTTTTTTTGTAGTAAAAATGCTATGAAACCAGAAAAAAAACATAGCACAATCCTCTCATAAAGTTAATATAATAAAATGGTCACCAAAGTTTCGTAAAAAATCATTTGTTTCTTACTGCTGGGTCTTCAAGTGCAAATACAGTAACATTTTTATTGTAATTGGACAGTGATTACTAATGTTTATATCTAGATTAGTGCGTTTTATTACGCTTTATAATTGAACCGTTAGGCGCGGTTATACCTAAACACATAAGAAAATAATCTTCCAATTTAATGTAAAATGGGATGCATGCAATTTCCTGTAAATCTTTGTAAAATTGAATAAAATAATATTTTGACGGTATATAAGTCAGATAATGTTTAGTTTTAATGGTTTATACGACAAGAAAATCCTAAAAAATACTTTATTAATTTTATGATAATGATGATTTTACTTTTTTTAGTCTGTACACTAATATTACCACATTTGAAATATCTTTCTTGTGCCTGGATTATCAATATCAACTCGTTTCCAAATGATTTGAAAATTAATTATATGCATACTCTTTTTTTTCAGATAAAGCATTACTTTGAGATTATGGTGATTTGAAGTTATATAATATCATTGCCTTGTCAAAGCATAATTTTCATGAGAAGCATCGAAATGTATTCTACGCACGATAAAGAAAGGTAAAAAGCAGACAATTATTTTTTCATAGAAGATTGGATTTTAAAATATTAAGTATGTTGTTATCAATCGATTCAATCTAAGCGGAAATAATAAATCATGTTTAAATATTCTCGACCAGCCGTTTTGTAAACAATGTGAAATATAAGGACTTTTGGTCTTTTCAAACTTGTACACTTTATAATTTACTTCAACATGTTCAAGGTTTTACATTTAAGGAAAGTTCATCGTTGTTTGAAATTCCAAAGGGAATCTATTATTGTCCAGGATTTCATCTTTAGTAAGTTTCGATTTAATATTGGTTGGGTTTCCAAGTGATGTAGTTATTAATGTAATGTAGATTGACCCATTTCCGTATGTACAACAAGTACGGAAATACTCGAGTCACGAGCGCATGTGACATCCTCAATTATGAAAGAGTCAAACAATTCAATTATAAAATGTACAACAAACGTACTTCCTTGTTTTATTCTCCAGCGTCCCTTTCTCTCACATTTGTTAGCCTATTTTAAGTATAAATAAAAAAGTAAGAAGATGTGGTATGAATGCCAATGAGACAACTCTCCACCAGATACCAAATGACATAGAAGTTAACAACTATAGGTCATCGAACGGCCTTCATCAATGAGCAAAACCCATATCGCATAGTTAGCTATAAAAGGCCCCGAAATGACAAATGTAAAACAATTCAAACGAGAAAAAAATAAAAAAATAAACTGTTAACACAGTGATATGTCTCGCCTATTTGTTATTTGATAATGCAAATGTTGAAATTAAAATAGCAATACTTTAACATGTAAGTTATGCAAATATTCAAAGTCAATGAACCATGACTGAAGGTACAGGGCTAAACAATCTCCATTAAAATGAAATGTGCCAATGCTAATACAACTGCAAACCAAATACCATTGACTTTTCATAAGTCGTTTCCTTTAAACAAACCTAAAAACAAACATTAACTTGTAAACTATGTAAAAGTTTCAAAGTCAATGAACCATGATGGGGGTGGGGTTATATAATCTCCATGGAAATGAAACTTGCAAATGCCAATACATTTGCATACCGAATATCATTGACTTAACATTAGTGGTTCATCTTAAACTGACCTAATCACAAACTAATACATGTAAACTAAGCAAAAGTTTTAAAGTCAATAAAACATGACTGAGAGGAAAGGACCAAATATTCTTCATGGAAATGAGATGTGCTAATGCTTATACAACTGCATACCAATTATCATTGACCTACCACTAACAGTTCCCCTTAAAATGACCTAATCACAAACTAATACATGAAAACTAAGCAAAAGTTTCAAAGTCAATAGACCATGAATGAGGGGGCGGGGCCAAATAATCTCTATGGAAATGAGATATGCCAATGCTTATACAACTGCATACCAAATATCATTGACCTACCACTACTGGTTCCCCATAAACTGACCTAATCACAAACTAATACATGTAAACTAAGCAAAGTTTCAAAGTCAATAGACTTTGACTGAGGGGGCGGGGCCAAATAATCTCCATGATAATGAGATGTGCCAATGCTAATACAACTGCATACCAAATATCATTGACCTACCACTAGTGGTTCCCCATAAACTGACCTAATCACAAACTAATACATGTAAACTAAGCAAAGTTTCAAAGTCAATAGACCTTGACTGAGGGAGCGGGGCCAAATAATCTCCATGGTAATATGTGCCAATGCTGATACAACTGCATAGTAAATATCATTGACCTACCACTAGTGGTTCACCATGAACTAGACCTAATCACAAACTAATACATTGTTGCCGCCGCCGTCGCCGACGCCGGAAACAGCATACCTATGTCTCGCTTTTTGACTCCATCAAGGCGAGACAAAAACGCCTGAAGAATGTTCTGAGGCAATACAAAATATGCAATTGAATAAGTCTCCTGGGCTTGACGATCTAACCGTAGAATTTTACAAAATGTTTTGGGAGAGGCTTAAATATATACTTGTTAAAGTATATAATAAGGGTCATGCAGATAGTTTAATGACCTACTCGCAACAGTCTAGTGTTTTGTCGTTAATATTCAAAAAGGAGGACCCATTAATATTAGAAAATCATAGACCAATTTCATTATTAAACGTAGATCTTAAAAATGCTGTCCCGTGTACTAGCTCAATGACTGAATACAGTTCTAAAAAACCTCATCAACACAGATCAATCTGAATACATAAAAAATAGATTTATTGGATTCAATTTAAGGCAAATACAAAATATTATAGATTATGCAGACATATATAATATAGAAGGGGCTATTGCTTTTGTCGATTTTCAAAAGCCGTTGACACTCTTGAATGGAAATTTATGTTAGATACTTTATATTACTTTGGATTAAATGAATCATTCATAAATCGGGTTAAAAATGTGTATAATGATATTCAAACATGTATTATTAATAATGGGTGGATTTCAGAAATGTTTAAAAATTCAAGAGGGATTAGGCAAGGGTGTCCTTTATCTGCTCTACTTTTTGTCATATCCGTTGAAATATTGGCACTGAGATTTCGAAACAACAAAGATATAAAAGGATTTTAGATAAAATTTGATAGGAAAACACAATGTATTAAAATAAGCGAATTAGCTGATGACACAACTTTAATGATAAAAATGATATCGAACTAGCATTGAATGAAATTGAATTTTTTGGATCTTATTCGGGATTAATTAAAAATAAAAATAAAACAGAAGGGATATGGATAGGAAAACTCAAAAACAGTTAAGACAAGATAGCAAATGTTAATTGGACAAATAAACCTGTAAAAGCTTTAGGAATTTATTTTGAAAATAAAATAGAGAACATGGACAAATTGTTATTCCTTTGGAAAAAGCGAAATCTCACTATGGTAGGAAAAATTTTGATCATCAGAGCTTTGCTTATACCACTCTTCACCTATTTAGCTAGCTCATGTGTATTTCCCGAAAAATATAAAAAAGAAATAGAAAGAAAAGGTTTTAGATTTATATGGAATGACAAACCAGATAAAGTTAAAAGAAATACGTTGATTGCTAGTTATGAAAACGGGGGTTTGAATATGATTGATATTGAAAGTCACTTGAATCACTAAAAGCATCATGGATAGGTAGAATCTTAAATACAGATATTGCCAGATGGCAACTTATACATTTGAAATATTTACAAGGCTTAGGAAAAAATTGCCTAGTAGTTTATATGAATATGGATTATAATAAAGTTGATCAATATTTACCAAATATTCCAAATTTTTTTAAAATGTATTAAAAAGCTGGATGAAAGCAGGAAGAGGACAGACAGATAAACCAAAAACCTTTTACGAAATTAGAAAACAAATTATTTGGGGAAATAAATACATTAAATTTGATAACAAAAGTCTATGTTTCAAAAATTGGATAAACGTTAATTTGATTTATATAAATGATATTTTAGATGAAAATTGGGAAATTTCACAAGATGTAATTTTCCAAAAAATAGAAAAATAAAACCAACTGGATAGCTGAGTTAACATCCTTAAAAACGCAATCCTAAAAGATTGGGTACAATGTCTTAAGATCAGAGAATTCTACGAGAAGTAGAGTCAATGTAAAACGACAATGTTTGTCAATAAGTGGCAATTATATTGACATTTCTTTTTTTGTCAAATAAGTTATTATATAACAAATTAGTAAAGAAAAAAGTTGTAAAACCGATTGGTATAAATATATGGTTGAATGTTTTGCCATTACAAACATAATTTCATTTGAAATCATTGTACAGCTTTATTTTTTACTATTTAGAAGAAAATGAATTGAAGATGTATCGATGGAAACTTTAACAAAGTATATTACCTACAAAAAAGTTATTATTTAGATGGAAGGTAACAAACAATGATTTATGTAACAAATGTTTTACTGAAGAAGATTATTATCATTATTTTATATCATGTTCCTTTTTAAACAATTTTTGGAGAAAAATTCATAATTTATTGAAAAAAGTAAATATAGAAAAAGATATTACATTAAAAGATCTTGTTTTTGGCTGTAAAATATCAGGTAAATATTACTTTGGCTTTAACTATCTAATTACTTTTATTGGATATTCAATTTATAAATCCTACTATTTATCTGATCAGAAAATGAAAAAAGACTTGATGTATTTTGTCTATTCATTAGAGAATTTACAAAACGAATGTGTTATACTAAAAAGTTGGAAGAAGTTAAATTCTTAGTTAATGTAAAAAAACATTTATTATATTGATGTTTTATAATTTATTAATATAATAGAATTGTAAATTATATTTTTTCTTCACAAGGAGCTTGGACTTGTTGAAGACAATGTAACAAGCAATTGATGGAAATAAAGAAAAAAGATTGATAAAAAAAACCCAAAAAACTTGTGTACAAAAAAATTAACGAAACACAAATATGATATATAGCAACAAACGACAACCACTGAATTACAGGCTCCTGACTTTGGACAAGCACATACAGAATGTTGCAGGGTTGAACTAGGTTGCTGGCGCCAAACTCTCATCCTAACCCGGGACAATGGTGTAACATAACAAAATAAGAACAAACTATACAAGATGAGTTAAGGGCTTGTTTTTAAAAATTGCAAATTTTATTTTACACTCCAAGCACTCTCAAATCAGTTATAGAAGAAAGACACATGCACAAGGGAGCTTAATATATAATGTTTAACAAATTTATATGTTTCAGTTTTAAGATATATGTATAGTTATTAGTTTTAGGGAGTTTGTGGGTGATTTACCTCGTCAAGTCCCGATGAAATCGGCTGTCCTTATTTCAAAGCAGCAAGTTGGAAAATCAAAATTCAATTAATGGAAACTACCGCTGTTCCCAAAACAGATACTAACATGTCACAATATTATCAAAAATGTTTTAATATGGTCTAAAACTGTTGTGCCTTGTTCATACCGAACATATACTTGTGTTTTGTCCTAGAATAACTTACAATTACATTACATGTATGTTTCACAAGAATCCGTAATTTTTTTTGGCTGACATCAATCGCGAGGCATTCCGAAATTAGATTTTTTATTTCCCAATAAAATGCAACAGTCATGACAGCACGTGCTGCAATCCTGGTATCTATGATGAGTTTATTTACTTCCTATGAAACGTAATAACAATGCATAGGAAAATGTGATATTACTCGTCATTTCATAGTTGTAGTATCATAAAAAATGTAATGATAAGAATTGAATGCTATATAGAGTTATAAAAGCGTTGATCGTGCGAAGATTATTAATATGAAGGGCGGAAGCGTTTCATAGAAAATGTGATCAACGTTTTTACAACTAAATAAAATTATAAAAAGAAACATTCAATTCTAAAGTAAGCAGTGGATATTTCTGCAGGTTAAAGTACAGTTCACAATTCATTTCTTCGTATGTATATGAAAACATACCTTTGAAGCTGGATGAATAGGGAATCCTTCCTTGTCTACAGAATGTTTCCATATGGGATTCATATTTCTAGGAACATCTTCGAAATCCACTTTTATTTCTATGGAGTCTGATCCCGCGATATCGTCTGCTACATCTATTTCTGTCTTACCTTTGTAACTGTAACCCAATACTTGTTCATCTTGTTTCAATGCCTGCAGTTAAAAAAAAATCTACAAATTTCCAAATCTATATAATACAAGTGTAACCTTCCAAAAAAGGTAAGCAGTGCTTAGCAATATCATAAATTAATGTCAACTTTTGTTTTTGTGGTTATTTTTTGTGATTTTGTGATTACTTTTTTTTAGAAAAAACGTCAATTTTTATATTTTTTCGTCAGAAGTATTTATTCTTTTTTCCTATTTTCGGATACTTTTATTTGGGTTTCAGTTTCATTATTGTTAGTAGTAATGTTACATATCGGTCAGCATCGAGTAAACGCATCAGTGATCAAGGCTATCATTTCCGTATAGTTTTGTATTGGCCGATGATATTGTATTAACACCAAACACCATACATAGAAAAAAATGTGAATAACACTAATAGCGCTATATGGACTACAGCAGAGATTATGCATTAAAAAATGCAAACCAATAGCAACATATTCATCGACTGGGTCTCGAGTATTCATACTGTCAGATCATCCATAGATAGTTCCGTCTCCCGTCCTGGTTTGTTCCTATTTTAAAAAGTCATTCAAGTCAATAGAATCTTAGTCACACCAGTAAGCAACAAATCAATACTAACTTATGTTTGGTAATAATTTCAAGATGGCGTGTATATCGATTGAAACTAATATCTTCACTCCGTGATGCAAAGTAATGAGGAGATGTCGTATGAATGCCAATGAAACAACTATCCACCAAGGACAAAAGGATGTGAAGAACTACATTCCAACGCACACGGCCTTCAATAATGAACAAAACCCATACCATAGTAAGCTGAAAAGTCATCGGGCTTTCAAAATAGTAATCAAAACAGGCATTCCTTGTAGAAACAAAAACGATGAAAAATCAAATTTAGATTAACAATACATTGTATTGTATGTGCCAAAATACCCTTAAGGTTGTAAGCCTTAGTTAATAAAACTGATACATAACTTTACGTCAGTTTCATTGAATTAAGGTTTAATATTAATTTATCTTACCTCTAAACAGTCCTTCAAAGTAATTTTTGCATCTGCAATGTGAACTTTGATTTTGATGTTCACCTGGTTATGGTCAATGGGAACATATTTTCCAAATGTCACAGCATATAGTTCTAATGGGAAATTTTGGGAACACGCACAAAAGTAAACAGAAAAGTGTATTGTATATATAGTCACAAAACCTGGACGTGTTTTAATGAAAAACACTTCGGGTAATGCATTTGAATGTAAGTCATCTTCATTTACATGTGGAATTTGATGGACGTTGATTTTACCTTCAGTTGGTTGAGCATTTGGGTGGAACCAATAAGGTTGCACCATAGCGTCTTCATGTTCTGATATACAATGTGGCAATTCAATCACCACATATTCGTCAAATTTTTCTTTATATGGTGTATAATATTCCACTACAGGCGACACAATACATGACTCTAAATTCGTCTTTGATTTCACCTCATAATCCTGTGCGAATATTGACCAGAAGATAGTTGTTGCTGGTGTTGAAATAAAATTTGCCGGTAAACACAAACTGATATCTGAATTAGGAGCTTTAACTAAACCCCCATTTATGTCTATGTCACATTTGTAATCCCAGTTCAAATTCAAGAAATTTAGCGAATTAGCTGCAGAATTACATTTTAATTCACTGAGATAATCTTTCCTTAGATGACCATAGTTTTGGTACATGTGATGATTACTACCTGCGCATGCATTTTCTTCAACTTCAGAATCGTCACTTTCTATTGCTTCTACGGTATCACTTATTTCTCTATCATACTCTTCTATTATACCATAAGTAGGGTTTTCCAAATTTCGAGCTGATATTTCCTCAGTATCAATAATAATCGTTTTGGCTTCTTTTTCTGTTACGTCCAAAACGTTTTCATAATCATCCTCGATAAAACTGTCGGCGTTCTTTTCAGCGTCATTTGTAATTGTACTTATCCCGGCTGCGTAAGCTTCTATATTTTTCAAAACGTCTTTAAAATCAAGGGATTGAGTTGTTCTCTGAATTTCTGATTCCTCCTTGTACGAGTCCTCTTCGCTTATTCGCCTATGTCTTGTGTGAAATATGGCATGTCTTTCACTAACTGTTGTATACTCTTCTTCTATTTTGCCTTTGTATTCCTTTATGGAACCTTCCATTGATCCTATACCAGATTCATAGACATTGTCTCTCCTTCGATCCATGATTGACCCAGGAAATGATTCGAATCCTGATTCACAGTTTGAATCATTTCGCCTTGTTATGACATTTTCTTGTGACTGGGCAGTAACGTCTTCTGTTTTTGCTATGGTAACTTTATCGTCACTTGCCTCGAATCCCGAATTAATACTATATTTATGACTTAACGAAGTCCGTCCACTTATGTGTCTATTTAATGTACGAGACAAAGCTTTTCTCAATATTCGCCTTTGTCTGATGAAGCAAAATATAAACATTATAAGAAAGACTCCTACAACCACAAATAAGGCAATGGAAACCTGGAACCACATTTCGTTTTTCTCTACAATAAAGGTTATTTACTAAATTAATGAAGGATATACATGTATGTTATCAAAACATTGTAATTCAAACACGTACTTATTACATTTATATTCTAGTATATCGAGATACGAATGATCCAAAACACTTATTAATTTTGTGCGTCAGAAGAGCTTTTCTGGATTGTACATAGACGTAACGCTTAGTTGGATTATTGACTTCTTTTTAACCTATTACCTCTGATACTGAAATGCAGCAAAATTCTGTTTTAAATAAAGCATAAGGGCAATTAAAATGCAACGTTTGGGCCACAGAAACTTTTTTTCCGAAAAACATTACCTATATATCCTAATAAAGGTGTATAGATAAAATAAATTCAGACAAGTGCCTGTGGTTTGCACTAGAAAAACCAATTTTGATCTGAAACGGAAATTTTGTTCTGAACAACTCTAAAAAGACAATAAATTTTTAAGTCAATTCAGTCAATATTCAGACTTATCATGTGCAGTAAATTCAGTACTGTTCAGACAATTGGCTGATTCGTTTATTCTGATTTCAAATTTCATAGGCTTTGACTCATCTACTTTTCAAGGAAATGCAGTCAAATAAGTCAAATAAGTCAATAAGATAGAACTGTCAAAGATTTGCCATATCAAATGGGAGGTCGTTAACCAAAATCATTCACTGTGCTGTATGAACAAAGAACATTGATTAAAGTGATACAGCAACTAAATTTGTCAAAAGAAAAGCTAAATTTGAAGGAATATATGCAAATTCTACAGTCCAAGTCAAGCATTAAAAAGTACAACAAAAAAGGTAAGCTTTAGAAAAGGCGAAATACTAAAATGAAATAACATTATGCCATAATTGATAACAGTCAAAATCCTAAACAGGTAAAAGCTTAGTGTGTACCAGATAAAGGGTTTACTAATATGTTTCAATAGATGTTACTACCAAGTTGTTTTTTTTTTCTGTAAAAAATGAAATCAAATACAACACAGGTCAATTATATCAAAACTGTCAGGTTATGTCTTCCGTATTCGATTTCAAACTACCATAATGAACTGCATAATTTGGAAAGATATTTTACATAAACTCATCATAGATACCAGGGTTAAAATTATGTGCGCCAGACGCGCGTTTTGTCTTCAAAAGACTCATCCGTGCACTCGATTAAAAAAAGTACTGTTAAGGTAATTTATTTCTGGGGTAGAAAATCCTTAGTATTTCGAAAAATTCAAAGTTTTGTAAACAGTTAATTAGTTATGACCATATCAATGATAATTCATGTCAACACAGAAGTACTGACTAATGGGCTGGTGATACCCTCTTTACAATTAGGTAAATTGAGTTGATTGTATAATTACATGCATTTACAGTGCCCAGGAAATGTGAAAATTTAGAAATATTAATTTAAAGAAAATAAAAGCAGATATTATAATTATGACATACCAGACATGTCAGTCGGATCTACATGTACTGTTGTTTCATTGCTGCTTAGTATTATCTCTGTTGTATTCTGGTATGGATACAACGTCACTGTATCATTGGCACCGTGATCACTGGTTACTAGACGGGTTATCTCTGGAGTAAACATAAGAAATTCACAAACGGGGAATATATCTTACACATAAAATGTATTAATAATTGATTAACACATCATTGGTATTGTGTGTCAGAAAATAAATTCTGATTCAATGGACTTTGGTGAAAACAAGGAAATAATTCCAAATTTGGTGCCAATAATTGAGTAGGAAATGAATGAAGAGAAGTATTTCCCACGGAAATGGAAATTGACATACCCTAGTGTGTACCTGCTTTGCCAAGTATTTTTCCATTCAAATTGCAATTGATATATTTTTAAAACCATCACAAATGTATAAAATTGAATAATTTATGTGTACACACAATTCGGAGTGGTTTTAATAACTCTTTTTGGATTATTGTCTTTTACATAGAAAAACAAAGGATATGATATATCCATCCATGGCACAAAATAAGTACATGCACAGCAAAAAACACAAAAAAGCAAAGGAACAGCGGAGCAAAAAAAAAAAAAAAAATAAAAAGAATTCTCACCTGACTTCAAGTTTAATTCGGTAGACTTTGTAAGATTTAACGCCACCTAATCGGGACAGGCCAAAATAAACATAGTGGAAAGTAGTACATATTTAAAACAAAATAGTTCCTACGCATAGGTGTAAATATCAAACTATGTAGAATATATTTTGGTAATTAAAGTATCAAATCAAGCGTGAATGACTAGTGATCCTTATAGAACACCTTTTGACTGATAATTTTGATTATTACAAAAGTGTATCAATAAATTTAAAAAGGAGGGCATATATTGACTGTTTCTCATATATGAACTACCTGATTTGAAATATCAAAAGTTCCGGTAACCAGTACGGTCCGAGATGTTAATGGCGGTATATAGACCGCCCCCTCCCCCATGAATGCTTGATATTCAAAAATTTAACATAGAAAGTAATGGGGTTCCATAATAGGTGGTGTGCGTATCATTAAATTTTAGAACACAAACTGGCTTAAATTGAGAGAATGATATGGCACACATGAGAGAAGTTATTTCAAGATTAAATACACCTTAACTTTAATAAAAATAGAAGAGCATACACCTCAAGCACGGGGTAACTTTCTACGGCCTCCACACATCACAAGAGACAAACCCCGTTAATATAATAGAAAAACAAAGGATATTGGTATCCACTCATGACAGTACATGCAGAACAAAAATACACAATAAAAACCAAAGGAACAGCGCTTTTATTGCTGTTCTTCATCTCAGATTCACAGTGAGGCCTCCAACACGGATAAAAAAATCAAAGAAACAATTCTCACCTCACAGGCAATTTAAGACGGCCCCTAGCACCGGTTTGAGCGGAAATGTTGACAAAATAATTCGGATAGACTTTGTAAGATTTAACACCACCTAAACGGGCCCGATCAAAAAGAGCATACTGGAAAGTAGTACATATTCAAAACAAAATAGTTTCTACGCATAGGTGTAAATATCAAACTATGTAGAATATATTTTGGTAATTTAAGTATCCAATGAAGGCTAAATGACTGGTGATCCTTAACTTCTAAATTTGTCACAAAAATATGAAACCCCATTGTTTCACATTATTGTTTACAAGAGAAATTTTTATTATTCCGAAATTGGAATTGTTCATACAGGAATGAAGTGTTGGTATACCGTCTTGGGTCAAAAGTGTTTCACCAATCGGAAATTCCCCTATTATTTCATATTTAAATACGCATTTTTAATAAAAATTCTACTGAAGATATTTCTTGTCAAAATTAATTGATTATTACAGAAACGTCTGCAGTAATTATGAAATATATTAATGACTTAATTTTTTAGGGAAATCACTGTTTAACGACAAACACGAATTTCTGCACGAAATAGTCATATGGCTATATAGGAAAAAAAGACACTGAATTTTAATATTTGTATACAAATAAAGATTTTTCAGTAACGACATGTCATAAATATATTTCATATAACCTTTAAAACATGTACAAATTTGTGAGTTTAATATTAAAAATTTCCTGAATATCAGACCTCAAATTAGTTTTTGATAAGATTAAACATGTGTTTTTATACAAATATACAAATGTTTTATTGGCACAAACACAATTACCATAATTGGCAAAGGCCCATATTTCAGAAAATTATTACAATCAATACAGCATAATAAAATAATATGTTATAATTAAGAAGATAAAATCTCATTTCTATAATCCAGTCATTTATGTATATAAGAACTATATAAAATCTAAAACAAAATGATTTTTAACATAGACCATGAAGACTGAGGTTAAAGCAAAGTATGTAAATGGAATTTACAGAGAACAACGACTGACATGCTTATTCGTTATGATATATTTTGTAAATATGAAACATATTAGCTTAAAAAAAGAAAAAATACTCGACTTTTTTTTATACAAAATGAACTATTTTAAAGTAAAAAGCATTTGTAAATTCATAAACAGGGGACAAATTTACAAATAATACAAGGCGTTTCCTGTGTCATTGTACAGGTCAAAATAAAATATAAGACCTACCATCCATATCTCATACTTCCTTATTGTTATCATACCTGTAAATTCACCTAGTGCACAATAAATGAATAAAATTAAATGTGTATCAAAAAACATTATGGGAGTGTTTTTAAAAATAGATTTACCCGTATACAATGCTGGAAATCCAATATTTAAAAATTCACTTGATACACTACAGCATGCCCTAATTTATCATACCACTTGAAACATAAGTATGTAACATACCAAACATATCACATAAGATCATAACAATATGAAGAACTATATATAAACAAACATTTTTTTTCTCAGCTGATCTTTTATCCATATCTATAAACAATGATACTCTTTCTTTAATTTATAAACAATAAGACGTTTTCTTTAATTTATAAACAATAAATTATTTGTTATAGATACAAAGTAAATTCCATAAAGTTGTTAGTACATTTTTTTCATTAACAATGAGATATTGAAAGTTGAAAATAAGTTCGAAAAATTTTCAGGCAATATGACGACATACTTATCATTTAAAATTATAAATCAATTTTGTTATTAATATTTGATACTGGAGAACTACGTGAAACAACCATCAAATTTAGAGAATGTATGAGACATTTCTTGAAAATTTGCAGTTTCGGCCAATATGTTCATGAAACTAAACGTAATCAAACGTTAAAAGTTATCAAGTGACCGTTGTCCTTGTTTGGATTTCACCATTAGAATGAAATATACCAAGGTAAACAACTGTCCCTTTCTTATTGTTATTTTTACTTTCCTTTCCTTGATTGCCCGTTTCGTGTCGGCTGCATTTATTACCATGTTATTCAATATGCATCTTAAATTAAATATAACAAATTTTGTTTTATATCTGGATATTTTACTTGAATTAATTTAGAATAAAAACTACCATCTGTGACAGACGCAATGACTTCAGGTTTGCTGTTGTCAACTAACTGCCACGCATTATTATTCACATACTATCTGCCCTAGGCTATGAAATTTCAACTCTTTAATCACAAATTTCCTAGCAATGTTACAATAAAACAGTGACTTAAAATTGAAAATAACACTTCATAAAGTTAGTGCGTCCGAGGCACTTTTCTGGACTCACCTTTCTCAGAAACGTTCATCTCCAAAAAAATGAAAGCGAGGATATATGAATATCTTTTGAGCTACATAAACAAAAGGGACATAAACTGAATAGCTAAAATCTTCTCAGGTAAACTTTCCCTGAGGCAGTTGCAACTTTAGCTTCTTATAATTTCTTAATTTAGTTCGTCATGTATTTAATCATATATAATATTTAATATTAGTATTTCTGAATTGTTAAGTGCAATTGTTTCTGTTGTGGCCTTTAAAATTGCATTTTAGTTGTAACACTTACGGACAATACCCTTTTAAATTCTAAGAACAGATGAAGTCGTTAGTATTTGTTTGATAATAGATATATTTTTTATTTTAAAGTGCAACTTGGTACATATAAGTAAAATACAATTTCTCTAATTCTTTTGTTAAAAGTAAATTAACGAAAATACCGAACTCCAAGGAAAATTCAAATCGGAAAGTCCCTTATCAAATGGCAAAATCAAAAGCTTAAACACATCAAACGAATGGAAAAAAAAATGTCATATTCCTGACTTGGTACAGACATGTCCTTATGTAGAAAATGGTGGATTAAACCTTGTTTTATAGCTAGTCAAACCTCTCATTTGTATGACAGTCGCATATAATTCCATTATATTGACAACAATGTGTAAACAAAACAAACAGACATAATAGGTAAAAATGTAAAAAAAAAAGGGTACAGCAGTCAACATTGTGTTATAATTTTAATCATTATAAAAACAAACAAATATGTCAACAAAGAAAAACAAAATGACACAAAGACAAAGCACATAAGCAAAAATGAAAGACAAAAATACAAAAAATTAGCACAGCACAACAACACAATGGCGGGATGCATAAGTACCGAGCCACGCCAAAAGTATATTACCAAAAATGGACTAAACAGTAAAGGTACATTTAAATTTTAACCTTTCTGAACCCACTGTATAAAAAAAATTAATCAACATATGGTTGCCGATTATCTCAGTGAATTACAAATATATTTCATTAAATGTAATGTTCATGCTTAAACGTGGTTTTTATTTATTGATCCAGAGTTGCATAAATGGAATTTTTGCGCATCACTTTTGTAATTGTATGACGTAGAAATCAAGAATGTGAAAGGCACTCGAAGGGGAGTTTCGTTTATTAAAAATGAAAATTTTTTTGATAATCATTAGAGAAACAGATTCTTACATAGTTACTTATCTAACTATCGAGATGGGATGAATCCGATAATCCACTTGTACCAATTTAAGAATCTATATTTCTTACAATTTTTAACATTCGTATATTTGTCAATAAACATGTGTACTAGTACAAAAAAAACCAACAACAAAAAACAGCCTTTAGAGGCTTACGATACATTGTCGTTTATGTACGAAATATTATATGAATAATTTTCAAAGTTATATCAATCCTTAATCTGAGGTTGAAGTCTTCTAGATAGTTTCAATATATCAGTTTTATGTCTATATAATATTTATGTTTGTTTAGGAGATGAAGTATCCAGGAAATACTTTGTATTCCGACAGAGAAAGAGTTATTTCAAATGTGTTGTCTTTTGCGTTATTGAATGTCGTTAATATAAAAAAAGGAAGATGTGGTATTAATGCCAATGAGACCACTCTCCACCAGAGACCAACTAACGATGAGCAAAACCAATACCGCATAACAAGCTATAAAAGGGTATGAAAACAAGCTAGATGAACTATTTACTTTTTAATAGCATGATATCGACTATATTTTTGCAAAGTTTGAAAAAAAATCTGTTATTTATTGGTAATAGACTTATACTACATAAAGCTTTATTTTTAAGTTTGAAATATTTAAGAAGTTAACACTTATTACTCTAATATCAAAGTATCATCAAAAGCAATTGAAACAAAGACATATTTTTGTTAAATATTAAATTATTGATCATGCACTTTAAGTAGACCCGACCCCGTCCCAATTTGGACCGGCAAGTGTTTCCTTAAAACAAAGATGTTATAGTGTATATAACTATATGGTTAGAATTTGTATACAACATGAAAATACATCACCGGTGGCTGCACGTCCTAAAGGCCTGTATTCTGGCTCGCTACTCG